AGCACAGCCAGAGGTACACAGCCGGAATGCCAACGAGGCCCCGCCCCGATGCCGCCGCGCCGCTTTGCTTTTCGCTTTTTTTTTATTTTCTCTCTCTTTCCCGCTTTCGTTCGGCAAGCTACGAGTAGCTTGCCGGCTTGCCATTGTAGAAGGCGGGGAGCCGCGGAGCACGGCGCTTTGCTTTTCGCATTTTTTTTTTAAATTCTCTCAGCCTTTCCGCGGTCGACGCGCGGCGAGGCGCAAAACGTGACACAGCTGGCGCCATCTGTAGCGCGTCGCGCCAACTCGCGATGCTCTCCTCGGCTTTTTGAACGGCCGGGACGCGCTGCCGGCGCTGTGCTGCAGTGGCGGCAAATACTACGTACTCGCCTACGCTAACTTTTCGTCTTGTCTCGGTATAGTTCGTTTCAGAGGAACTTATCAATCTAAATGTTACGATTATTCTGAATGAAACATGCCGTCCACGGCAAACTTTTCATCGTTGTATCCGATATGCGGTGGATAACATATCGTTATATATGGTTTTTTTCCCCATAGCCCCAATGCATAAAATGAGACTGTTAAGTCGACCCATCGTTATAACCGATATATCGTTATATGTGGTATCGTTATAAGTGGACTGCACTGTACTTCATCATGAGCAGAAAACTGGTGACGTATCTCAAGAAAGTTGTACGCCGTGGTACGAAAACAAGTTTGTACAACAGGCGGGCACGCCATCACCCCTCTCGGCATTTGCATGACTAGAGTCGGCATTCGCGGACGCACATTTCTCTGCAGCTGCCTTATACTTCCGAAATGCTCCCAAAACCTCATCCTAGGCATTGACTTTTTATGTGAATATGGTGCTATAATTGACATCCGACAGCACATTGGGACGTTCTTGACAGACAAAGCGGCAGAAAAATTTGATGACAGCATGTTTCGTGTTTCAGCCGACATAATCACGTTGCCCCTACGTTCAAGCGTACTAATTGATGTCGTGTTTTGACGAGCTACGTGACGGGGAGGGAGTCCCCGAAGGAGACTTGACTCTTTTGTTCAGCATAGGTGTCTGCACGGTCCGCAGCCTCATTACGCTTTATGACAGATGTGCCACGTTGCTTGTGACAAGTTTTAGTAATGAGCTGCGGCACCTTTTTCATCGCACCACTATTGCTTTCGCCTACCCTATCGAGATGCTAAATGTTTTGCTGCCATATCAATGAACAGCGGGCTACAATCGGCATTAACAGGCGTTTCTATGGCTCTTGCAAAGCTGGACATCAATTCGAGCCTCACGCAACAAGAACGCGCAGCACTGCAGGAACTGTTGCTTGAATTGGACTGTTTCGCTTCGTCCTCAAGAGTGCGTCAAACGCCCCTTACGAAACACCAGATTATTACATACACCGATGTCTCGCCCATGAATCAATAACCCTACTGAGTTTTGGCCAAGGAATGTTATGCGATCAATCTCTAGCCGAATAAATGCTTCAGGATGATGATATACAGCCGCTCAATAGTCTGTGGTTATCGCCAGTCATTCTTGTAAAGAAAAAGGGCGAACCGTTGCGTTTCTGTGTGGATTACAGAAAGCTGAACGGCGTGACTAAGAAAGACGTGTATCCTCTGCTACGCATCGATGATTCACTACGGCGGGCAAGGTATTTTCCATTCATAGACTTGAAAAGGGGACACTGGCAGATTGAGGTTGATGAAAGAGACGGAGAAAAAGCTGCTTTTGTTACACCAGATGGCCTGTATGAATTTAAGGTGCTCCCCTTCGGCCTGTGTTTTGTACCAGCGACATTCCAAAGAATGATGAACACTGTTCTTATCGGTCTGAAGTTGAACACCTGTATAGTTTATTTCAATGATGTCGTCGTGTCTTCAATCACCTTCGAGGAACACTTCAAGCGTCTGCAGGCTGTTCTGGAAGCACTCTGCTCTGCGAACCGTGCGCTGAAGCCAGAAAAATGCCACTTCAGCTATAGAGAACTTAAATTTTTGGGTCATGTGTGCGCATACGGTGTTCGACCTGACCCCGACAAGACAACCACCGTAGCCTCCTTCCCCATTCCCCATAACAAGAAAGCAGTACATCGCTTCTTCAGCCTGTGCGCCTACTATTGTTGCTTCATTGCCAATTTTTCAGAATTGCCGAGCCTCTGACTCGTCTCACTCGTGATGACGTACCATTCATTTGGAATGAAGAACGGAACACAATTCTTATCGATCTACGTATGCAGGCACCACCAGTTCTTGCTCACTTTGTCGAGGATGCCGCCACCGAAGTTCATACTGAAGCGAGCACTGTAGAAGTCGGCGCCGTGCTTGTAAAAACATCAAGAAGGCACTGAGCGTGTAATAGCTTACACCGGTCGTATATTGTCTTGCGCCGAGATGAACTATTCCACTTCGGTGAAGGAGTGCCCAGCAGTAGTGTGGGCCACCTTGAAGTTCAGACCTTACCTCTACGGCCATCACTTCAAAGTAGTGACTAATCATCATTCATTGTGCTGGTTAGCGAATTTACTAAGCCATCTGGGCGTCTCGCACGATGGAGTCTTCGATTGCAAGAATTTAACCTTACCATCGTCTATAGATCAGGCTGCAAGCACAAAGTTGCCGATTCCTTGTCCCGTGCACCTACTGGAGTTAGTGATCCCGACAATAAGGATGACAGTGGCTTCCTCGGCGTCATCACTACAACAGACTTGATCGCATGACAACACGATGATGTCAAGATTCGCGCAATCATTGACAATCTAGAAGGACGCAACACACCCGTACCTCGACACCTTTCTCGCAATCTCTCTGTTCTGCCTACGAAACGGTGTCTTGTACAAAACAAACTCAAGTGGCAATGAGAAAGCTTACGTGCTAGTGGTCCCTTTTGACATGCGAGACGATATTCTTCTGACCTGCCACGACGAGCCCGCATCCTGTCATCTAGGTTCTGCACAAACTCTCGCCAGAGTTCAACAGGCGTACTATTGGTTGAAACTTGTGTACGTCAAGCGATATGTGAAAAGATGCCGTGAATGTCAATGCCACAAATCTCCACCACTGAAGGCCTGCAGGCCTGCTGCAATCAATCGCACTATCAAGGGTGCCGTTCGATCATTTAGGAATAAATTCACTGGGGTAATTTCTTCTGTCATCTGCCGGTAACAAGTGGATAGCTGTAACGACAGATTATCTAACAAGATACGCCGAGACAAGAGCCCTCCAACGAGCTACAGCTTCTGATGTTGCCCAGTTTTTCATCAACCAGCTTGTTCTTTGCTATGGTGCCCTGTTTCGCGTGATCACTGATCGCAGAACAGTTTTCACGACTCAGCTCATTGACGATGTATTCAAACTAAGCTTCACGAGCCATTGCAAGATGACGGTGTATTACCCGCAGACTAACGGCTTGACAAAGCGACTTGACAAGACCATCGCCGCTATGTCATTCATATATGTGGACATTCAGCACAAGACATGGTATCAGGTCCTCCCATACATAACATTTGCATATAACACTGCCATTCAAGAAAGAACACGATTCACATCGCTCCATCTTGTCTATGGGCGCGAGGTCTAGACCATGCTAGATGCTATGTTGCCACACAATTACAACGGGTCGCTCACACTTACGCTGAGCAGCTTGCTCAGTATGTTGAAGAAGCTCGACAGTCGGTATGCCTGCATATCACGCAGCAACAAACTGCAGATTGTTATGCCACAGACATGGTCCTCATTCGAGAGCGCTTCTTTTCACGAGATCGAGCGCTGTTCCGGCGAACTGTCTCCCCCGTCCCAGCGCAAGCTTCATGCAGAAGGCGGCACCATGCAGTTCCAGGCAAAGCGTCGCCTCCTCCGCCGAGCCACCATGCCGTTCCGGGGACAGCTTCACTTTCTCCTTTAAGCACCGGGAACTGGTCTCGTAGGAGAAACCAAAAGGTTATTTAAGGCCGTGCCGGCCCCATGTTTAGAGGATTTTGCCTTCAGCCGACCTCGTCGGGCTGGCCGGCTCTCTACAAACGACAACCTGCTATAGTAAACTCTCCTTCCTGGTGCTGTTTTCAAAACTGATTGCCTCTCTATTCCGCCTCTGGGCGAAGGCTTCAGCGAAGTCCGTTCGACTGCTCCCTGCTTTCGGCTACCGTTACCATCACAACAAACAGGAAATCCTAACAGTGGTGGCATACGGGATGCCATCAAACCACATTTATAACAAGATGCACGCCGCCAAAATCTTCGCCATCAACAGGTTGAATACCCCCCAGCAGATCTAGTTTGGGTATGAACTCTGGTTCGCCGCCAGGGGTTGTCCGAAAACCTCCTGAGTCGCTACTTTGGACCCTACAAAGTAGTGTGTCGCATGATTGACGTGAACTATGAGGTGGTTACAGACAAAACCATGTCGCCCCAGCGTCCAAAGCACTACCCAGAGATTGTTCACAGTGTACGGCTCAATTCGTACTTCATGCTTTAGTGTGACCGTGCCTTGACCTTGTTTCTTTGTTCTTGTTCTTTCTTCTTCAGTGTGCACGCTTGGTGCGCGATGCTTTTTTTTTCAGTAGGGGAATAATGCCACCTGTCTATGAACTGCGGTGAGCATGAGCTCGCATCCAGGACATTCAGGAGAAACAAACGAGGAAGTCGTTGTGGGACAGGGCGTGCTCTCGCTGAGGCTTTTTGGTTTTGTTGCGACACTGACCTTTGCCTCTGCGACTACGTGATATTTCTTGCCTAGAACCCCTCTTTTTTACACGCGACAATATACATTGAGCCTCAAGTGACACATTTGTGATGTTCTGACACTAAGTAGCGAAGAAAGCTTGTGCAAGCAGTTTGTGTGATTGTAGACATTATGTGTGGGTGTGAAGCTTTGAGTCTGGCTGTTTGTGGAATGTGAGTACAGATATCTTGGGAAGGTCTTTGTTTCCATAAAGAAAAATATATGTTACATTTAAGAGTGAATAAAAGTAAGGTGCATTTTTCAGAACATTCAAAGTTTGTTGTTGCAGGCTATGGGTCCTCTTTGACCATTGAGGGCAGCGTAGAGATGGATGCGCTCATCATGGAAGGCACGCTCATGAAGGCTGGTGCTGTAGGTGCTGTGCGTACTGTGCGTAACCCAGTCAGCCTAGCACGCAAGGTTATGGAGCAGGTGACCACTCTTTGCACATTTCATAATTTATGGCACTTCGTTCTTCTTGATTGTAGATGTGTGTTTCCTTAAGCAGAAGTGTCAATGAAACCGATAGCTGCATGGAAACCTGCCTGGTAAGGAAAGGACATGAAGAAAATAAAACAAATAAAAAGCAAGAACGCTTTTATTTGCTTTTATTGAGACAACAGTCAATAGTCCTTTCGTGTAAGAAGCTAGCCTATCTACGTAAAGGTATGTGAATTTGCAAACTGCGTGCGATCATGATGATTGAAAAGCAATGTTGCCTATATATATATGGTTATCTTTTTCGGGAATGTTCATTGTTGCAAGTTAGCGCCTGTCCAGTCTTTCTCTGTCTGTGTGTTTTTTTTTCATGCACTGTAAAACTACTCCACACAAGGATTTGCACACAAGTAGGCACTAGTGCTGCCTTCCTACATTTATTTGGAGTATGCACTTTATGCTGGCTCATGCCATAGGTTACTGAGACTGCTGTAATATAGCATACGCAAAATGTTCTGTTCTGTTTCATTGGCACGTGGAAAAATACAAGTGACTACTCATCACACCTATATGTGCAGCAGAAAATCTGGTCAGTTGGTTCATGTTCATTTAATGTTGATGATGTATAGAAAGTAATTTAGTAATTGTGCTATCATTTTTCATTCATTGCTAAATAAAGATATACTACTGGAAAAGTACTTTGCACTGCGTATCTGTAATAATGCATCACCTCCTACAAACTCTTTTTTTTGTGCTGGGGACAGTCACTATATTTTGACGACTTTCCTGGTGCTCTGTGCAGACAGAGCATGCACTGTTGGTGGGACCATGGGCAGATGACTTTGCTCGGGAAATGGGCATACCACGGGTTGACAATGGCTCCTTGGTCTCTGAAAAGGCCAAGCAGAGGTTGGAGGAACTCCAGTGCTTCCACAGCACCGTGTACCAATCCATCAACGTTAACCATAAGTGAGTACGACAAAGCAAACATAATTCCTTCAAGCAGGTTGATAGTATTTACATGATGCCATAAGAGCGTGAGAATATTTAGGTCAGCCCATATCATTGCTCACTGCCTAGGTAGCATTGTGATGTGCATGAAAAAAGCTGTGCTAAATCATACTTTTATGAGAGGCAGCTTGACAGGAGCTCACAGATGCCTCAATACAAAGGTTGCAGATTCGCTCCCTGCTGGCGGTGGCAAGCTATCTTTTCTACCACTCTACTTTATGTGATAATTACTACAACCCTATACTTTCCTTGGTATTATTGTCTATCGTTAATATTGTCTAACAAAGATAAACAGGCCCTTATTGAAATTCTGCTTCTTTCTTTCAGGACGCAGAAAGGGAACACAGAACGGCTGCCATTCTGTGTACTGGTCACTTATGTGCGCTGTTTAATGCTTCACCAACAAGCCCTAGTTCTCAGTTTTGCTCCTTCCTTCATTTCTTTCATGACCTCTGCGCAGGGAGCATGACACTGTTGGTGCTGTGGCAGTCGATACAGCCGGCCATGTGGCATGTGCCACATCGACAGGCGGCCTGACGGGCCAACGTTGTGGGCGGGTGGGTGACAGCCCTATTGTGGGCGCTGGTGGATTTGCCGACGACTCGGTGTGTGCCGTCTCCACAACAGGCCATGGTGAGGCCATTGCAAGGTCCTGCCTGGCCTATGATATGGCTGTGCGCTTACAAGCCGGTCAGTATCTTACGATAAAATTTATTCCTGCACAAAGAAGCTAGGGCATCTCTTCACTCCTGGGGCTAAGTAAATTGTGTGTCATAAATCATGATGAATCACTCTAAATTGTAATGCTTAGAGGTCACATTATTGCACTCTTTGAGGTTATATGTCTGTATCAATCATACTTCTATACAAGCATTGAAGTAACTAGACAAAAGCTAGCTACTACCCCCAAGTGAAACTGTACAGTATACAAAACACTTATTATATATGTAAAAATGGTCTGGAACCTGCATGAAAAGCACTTCGTCAACTAGGATACTTATTGTTTTTATTCGGAGAATTTCAGAGCATTACTGTTCTCCACATGCAAGCTTTTGTCACTACTCCGCTTAGCTGGTGTTTGCAAGCTTACGAAAAAGCTGAAAATGTGCTAGTTCTTTAAACATGATCAAATTTTTTTTTACACAAACTAAAAAAAAATCTGACAATGACAAGAAAACGCAAAACTCATCAGTGCAATCTGTCAAGTGTTTATTGCAGTGATGAACATGATATATGAATAAGCTAAGGCATCTCTTCACAAGCATGTAGTGCCCGTATGTATCTCATGTTTATCTCTGTATTACTGTATTTACTCGATTTTTATGCACCCTCGATTGTAAAGTGCACCCAATTTCCACGACGAAAAAAAAAGTAAAACATCAATTGCAACGCGCACCCGTTTTTCTCGCTGGCCCACACGATCACACCACTCAAAAAAAGGACTCCTTTTGGGAGCATCTTCCCTTTAAATATGAGGTACGGAGGAAATTTGTGCCCACATTGACGTGTAACAGAGCATTGCCGTCACTGTAGTTTTACCGTGAACCGATGTCAGCACGCGTACTTCCTTCGCCCCCTTCTTCTCGAAGGTTGTGGTGCCAGGCATGTCGAAGTAAACAGGCGTCTAATCGGCATTACAGATTTGCCCAAGCAGGTAGCCGTTGTTGTGCCGCAAGTTTAGGATGAACCTCTGAAAACTGTGCAGCTTTTCATTGCACTCCTCCGCAAAACTTTTCGCAGATGGCCGTTCACCTTCGGAGGGAAAAGTCTTTCTTCTTAAAGTTAGTTAGCCAGCACCTGCTCGCTTTAAACTGGCTCCGCATTAGCCCTTTTTCCAAGGCTAGTTGTATAGCCCGCACTTGGAGCAGTTCTGTCGTCACGGGCCACTGTGCCGCTCGCTGCTCAAGCACATACTCGGCAAGCAGCTCTTCAATTTGCGGAAACCGACCCTGCTGTGGTCCACTGAAGCCTTTGCGTGAATCTTTTCTGTCGACAATCTTCTGCTTTTGTTTCTGCCAGTCCCGCACGCACGTTTTAGGAACTCCGAACGACCGCGATGCGGCTCGATTTCCGTCCGTTTCTGCACACGCGATGACTTTTCTTTTAAAAGCGGCATTCTGGTGCACTCGAGTTTTTGGAGTCAGCCCTTCCATGCCGTCGATGCTAATGCACTACAAGATGACGAACTCCTCAGCACACGTACGAAGTGCCGCACATGGGAAACACATAGGCAGAAATGCCCGACGTGCCATGCCGACGCACGTAGGGGGCGGCCATTTTGGAAATGCCGATACAATAGAATGACCGTATTTTTTTTTTTTTCGTACTCGATTCTAATGCGCATGCGATTTATGAAATCACTTAACCGGAAAAAAGGTGCGCGTTAGATTCGAGTAATTACGGTAAACAGCTGATAACTTTGTACTGATGTCTTCTCCATGTGTCTTTCTTCATTGTGTTGCTTCCATTTCGTAGTTTGTGTGAGGAAATTTGATTATGCTAGTCTGCCTGAAGTTAGCGTTTCTTCTTTCATTGTCTGTTGGTACAGTTAGGTCTAGCATTAAATCACTGCTGGATCAATTTGTTTAACTGCTGCTACATGACTGTTTCGCTCTTCCAGCAGCAAAGCTTCATAGTCAAAGCTCTGTTTGGCAGTTGAAATGAATACGTGGCATGGCCTCGTTGGTGACTTACAATGTTGGGGGAATGCCAAGTTAGTGAACTCAACTCTAGAATTAACTAGACTGCTCGCATCATGCGTACCATCCTATTGCAATCATCTAAAATGATCTGGAAGTTTCACAAACATTGTGCCACGGCCTGCGCCAAGCAGTAGTAACACTTCACTGGTGAGACACAAAACTAAACGTGGCAATAATGAAGACCAAAGTTGAGAGCATTTATTGAAAATGCTACTTCGCAGTTGTGAAGTGGAGTTCATATTAGAGTGAGTTATTTGTTTTACTGCTACTGATATTGAAGGTTGTTCATGCTGGAAATTACGAAATTACCTGGATACGAAGCATGAACTGTCAGTTATTATGGCCTTAGGTTCGTCTCCCACTGTGGCCATGGAACAAGCGCTGAAACGGATGAGACTGAAGACGCAGGGAGGCTGTGCAGGTGCCATCTTGGTGACGCCCACGGGTACTGTAGTCACTGGAACCACCACCGAGCTCATGCCCTGGGCTTGCCGAAACAAGCAGGGTTACCAGTGTGGAAGTGAACGAGACGAGCACCCACTGTAGCAGCTGCTTTCAAGCTGTCGCCATATGAATGGCACCAGTGATGCGATTTTGTCAGTTTGTAATAAACATTGTTCTATTGCAAATGTGCTGGCCGCACTTTTTTTCTGCTTGTGTTCTTTTTTAAATTGGCACAAAGCTCAAACATGAACAAGAGGGGAGGACAGACGAGCACAAATTGATGTGTTTCTACAGGGGTACTGATACAAAACTTCTCTTTCTTTATTTCAGTTACTGTATTTACTCGCGTAATCCTCACACTCGCATCATCCCCCCTTTCAAATAGCCCAACAAATATACAATTAGATTTTTTTTTTTCGGAGTAAGAATTGCATATCCGAAAATTGCAGCAGGAATGTAGTCTTCTGCCATCTCTTCAGCATCATGCATACTATTAATGCATGGAGCCTCAATCCAAGCCAAGCCAAAGTCGCAAATACACGTAGCGTGTTAGTGCTAGTCAGTGCAGCGTATGCATTGTGTCTATGTTGTGGTTACACAATGGGTCGATACCGAAGCAGGGGTGCAACAGCTGAGCCAATTGTGCCAAAACCATGAAAATTGCTGCAATTGTGCCATGCTGCACCAAAACGCCCAGCCCGCCTCTTAATTTTCTCAGGTGCGCTAATTTGAGCGGGAAATTGAACCAAGCGTGCAGACCCTAACCCTAAACCACGGTATAAGTTCTATACTCGTTAGGTGAGGACAGTTGTGAGACGGGGTCGACCAGATAAACATAATTAACAATGCCCCGTGCCCATCGGTTGCTAACCAAAGGGGATACCTATTGGGGAATGCCAGAACTTTAAGCAAAAAAAAATAAGCATTGCCATAGCTTCGAACGCTGCACGGGAAAAATGAATTTCCTGGTCAATAAAGGCAGTATCGCATGTTAGAGATGTATTCCGTGTTATCCACAAGCGGAAAAGGCAGACATGCGGCGAGCACCATCGTTGCCAGTTACCAGTTGGTTGTAATAGCAACGGTACGAAAAGCATTTTTCTCGCTTGAAGTTGCCTTGTCCCAGCGATTGATATCCAGCGCTGTCACTGGACCGACGGGGGCGCGCCGTTGTTACTTATGTGGTTGAACGCGCCTTGCAAGCGAGCCGAGAAGTTGTGCCCTAAGCCTAACCTCTATTGGGCAAAGAAAACGCGAGGGCGGGGTTTCGTGGGGGGTTTAGCTGTTAGAAAATTGCTTGGCCCTGTTCAAACTTGTGCAGAACGGTACTTCAGCATAATACACGAGTGTCCCGCAGACAAGTGCAATATGATTTGGAAGGGGGCTGTTATTGCTAGTCACAAGACACAGCACATTTCGTTCGATTACTCAAGCTTGTAGCGCAGCATAATTGAGTACTGCTATAATCACTGACATCTAAAGAAGTTACTGGCAATCATTTCTAGCAGCGCATGACAAGCTGTCGCCCTAAAAAAAATAGAACTTTTTTTTTTCTGCCACCCCTACTCTTCGGTTTTCCGAATATCCCGAATTCGAAAGTTGCCAGCTTGGCAGAGCCTCATTTGAATTTGCAGAGTCGGTGAAAGGGTCCAACAGGTGCAGCAAATTTAAAGGCCATCACTGTTTGCTCAGTGGGGTAATTTAGAATACTACATTTATTGATATAGCAGTGCTTGTTCACTGTGCACGATTTAGGTTGGTTGAATGTTTTGTGCATAGATTTTTTTTCTAAATGTAAGCCTCTTTTTTTTAGAATGGGACAAATTTGCTTTTTCATGATATAATTTGGCTTTTTTCTTCCCACAACGTTCTCCAAATTAATATTTTAATGCTCCAGAAGTAACATTTTGCTGCTCCGAAATGTACTCCAAATTCAATTTTGGCTGTTGCACCCCTGTAGAAGCTACGCTGCTGCTTTTAAGTTGAAAGTGATGGGTCGTGCTCAAAAGAACAGCAACAGAACCGTCAGCAGGCATTTTGGAGTTGAAGAGTTTTCTGTTCACTTCTTGCAACAGCAGCACGAGCAGCTGAAAGCCACCAAGAAGACGCATTACGTCTTCCGTGGGCCTAGTCTAGGAAATACCCACAGATTGAGGCAGCGCTTTTTGATTGCAGGCCAAAGAAGACAATACGCGATCCCCTGAAAGCAGCTCGAACACCGTTAGTGCCAATCGAAAACCTGCCTCGACCGCCCGCCCCCGCTCCGAGCTCATCACCGTCGGAATCCAACTTCCACCCGGAACACTCGCGCCAAAACTGCCTCTGTACAACCTGCTTGCTACGATCATCGCCGCCACATACCTCTCTCCCAAGACCAGTGCAGAGGTCACCCTTCAGGCCAAACCTGCTCAGAGCCTTGTGTTCCTGAAAACACACTCGCCCCTCACTGCCCACCTCCTATTGTCCCTTGCAAGTCTGGAACTTAATCGTAAGCTGATCACCAATAAGCCCTATGCCCCCTGTCCTCCAATATCATCTCTCGGCGTGACACACAACGTCGGTGGACATTTCACATCATCTGAGCTTTTGCATAACCTCGAATCCTTCACTTCAGACATACTCGCTGCACGTATGATGGGCTCCACGGAATCCGTCCTCATAACATTTGCTGAAACTGGCATTCCTCGCGTTGTTTATTTTAAACGCGTCTCTTTTCGATGCTGTCCACATGAACCTAAGCCCCCTACTTGCACTCGGTGTCTTGCTATAGGGCACCATGCTCATCAATGCCCTCAGCACAGCATTCCGGCCAAGTGCTGCCGCTGTGCGTCTCCTCTACCAGCAGATCCCGATTCTCACGTTTGCGCCCTACCCTGGTGCATCCATTGCCAAGTCAACACTCACTCATCTCTCGACTCCACCTGTCCCTACCTTCCAGCTAAGCAACGAGATTGTGCCAAAGCCGCTTTTCTCCGTCGCACAGCCATGCGCTGAGCCACTCAGCCTTCGCCGTCCTCCTCTTCAGCGCATGAGTTCCTTTCACCTCCTGCAACATTCCCCCGGGCTCCTACGCCGCTAAGGTGAAGGGCGCACCTCCCGTGTGCCCTTTCTTCATCAAACACACCTTCACCATCCTTGAGTAATGAGAGCCGCTCCTTCAATCTGCGACTGGCTATGTTGGAGCGCAACCATGGAGCGCGAGCAACGGCGCGTCTCATATGAGCTACCACAGAAAATACTCGCACTGACGCAGACACTCGCAACTACCACATCCTCTGAACTCGCGGAGCTAAATAAGCAACTTGCCACACTCACCGCCCCGACCTCCGGCTCCTATGTAACCAAATTGGCCGACATGGTCGAAACCACCGCCACTGCGTTTGGTCCAGCTGGAAATACTCGTTTGGTCCAGCTGGAAATATCGATTGTCCAGATTCTTACGACCCTCGAAACCCAATCCAAGCATCAAGAAATCTTCACCTATATGCTTAACTCCCTGCACAAGTCGCTTTCCCCGGCAAAAAACGCGAAGGTGCCTCTTCTACTTCAAGGACCTAAACGGCACGTGAAAAGAACTTCGAGATTTTGCAGTGTAAGTGCCGGGACTTTCGTCATAATATGACCCCTCTCCACCAATATCCTCTCACCCGCCCCACCTTACCCCATTTTCTCCTTATACAGGAGACTCGGACGGCCCTTACCGTCCCGGGCTACCGTGCATATCACCTCCAAGTGGCATTCCTGTCCTAAGACGAAAACGCCACTTGCGTCCATTTATGTACGCAATGACGTTTTGTTTAACCACTATACATACCCTCCACCGTCCTGAAATTAGGTCGGTGTGGTCTATTACCAACCATCTACCCGTATTTCCCTCGCTCTGATGTCTTTTTACAACCTCCCTGTCACATCCTCTTTGTTTAGTGCTCTTGGCATATTCCTGCACTCCCTTTCATTGACCACCCATATCCTCCTTGGGGGTGGCTTTATTGCTCCCTATAGGCTCTGGGGTTACTCCCAAACACTCAAACCCGGTCGCCTTCTACACTGCCTCGCGCAGGAATGCCATCTCACCCTTCGTAATACCCCTGACACCCCTACTCGAGCGGGCACTGTTTCACAGCACTCCACTACACCTGCTCTCACTTTCTCTCAGAGTTCCCTTCCTTTTTACTGGCAGGTGTCAGCAGAAAACCTTTTCAATGATCACTTTCTCATACACATCACCACCCTTCATTTCCACAACAGGCGTAAACAACGAGTCGCTTACGCTGACTGGGAAGCATTCTGTAATAACCTTTTGTCTGACTCCTTTGAAACTTACGGTGACTGGAACGTCGCGGATCTCTGCAGCAATGACATCCTGTAGTCGCCGAGCTCGTTTTCGGCTCCCAATTCCTGACCCTGATCCTCACTTCCTTCGTTTATGGCGATGTCGTCAACCCTTGAAACGCTCCCTCCGCTCCCGGCCACATAACATCCAACTTTTCTCCCGCATTGATGCTCTGTGGGCTGAAATCCTCGATTACGGCACTTCGCTCGAGCACTCTCGTTGAAACACGCTGTGTGACGGCCTTGACTCCGCACTACACTCGTGCTCTACAAAGTCTCTGTTTATGTCTCTCTTAGGTACCAAGCCTGCCGTTGCTCCCACCCTAGCTAAAGCTCTTGCTCAAGGGACTCCATTGAATGTTTTTGACAATTTAAAATATCTGTATCTCCCACCCCCCTCACATCTTCCTACCCATATTATTTTTGCGAAGCTAACCCAGACCTGGATCGCCCATTCACGCTCAGGGAGCTGGAAGCTGCCTTAGCCACCCAATCTACCTGCTCGCCTCCCGGCGAGGATGAGACTTGTGCAGTTAAACTTATATATAACGAAATTGATAAAGTCTTAGAAAAATTCTTTATAAAGAGGATTTTGTTATATGCAGGTTCGGTACAAAAATGCGAAAAATAAATGCGCGAATTAAACGTACAAGAAGGGTACTGAAGGACAGCTAACCGAAAACACTTGTATTACAGTAAAAAGACTGCGTTATCATTGCGATAGCAATTACATGGACATACTCGGCGGGTTTTTTCTGTCGCCGCCATGTTCCGTAACAAGTCCACATTGATAAGATGCCACCGCGCATCGTAACTTTCACGAGCGGGTAAAAGCGCGCGAGTGCTGCTGAAGCAG